ATAGCACTAATATGTAATTAATAACTATAGTATTAATATTAGTACTAATAATATAGTACTAATACTATAGTTATATTATTATATAATATATTATTACTAGTATTAATATAGTAACTAATACTATAGTTGTATTATTATACAATATAATATAAATATAATATTAGTATTACTTTATTTTATTTATAATATTATTTTATTTATGGTATGGTATACTTTTTTTATACTATTAATAGTATTAGTAATATATTATTAGTTATATGTACTAGTACTAATTATATATACTTAGTACTAATATATAACTAATAACAAATAACTAATTACTATAATAGTACTAGTATAATAACTAGTTATATTTATATATATATATAGTTAAATACATATATAAAGAAATATATAAAGAAAATATATATTTGTAAGTAATAAAGCATGCCTTGACAACATAGCTCGTTCATTTAGGCACCCTTTGCCCGAGACTTTTAAAGGGTGACTCGACATTGCTGTAGAACGAAGGAACGAAAAGAGTAGGAAGAGGAGGTGGAGGATATTAGAGAAAAAGGTACAGGAGGGGTTGGTTCGTTAGTGGAATTGGGCTGCAATCTAGGAAGACAAGAAGAGACACACAGTACGGATAAAATAAAAGGGGAAAACGGACATACACGACTCTCTTCTTTTTACCAAGCCCCCTTTTCGTCGTAGTCTGTACCAACTATACCAAATCCACCCCTATCCCACATCCATCTATCCCAACCACCCGTCCTACACCCCCTATCATCCTCTGTTCTATCTAAAAAAAAAAACCCCTCTTTTTCTTTCTTACAATTCCTACCTAAGTTCTCTTTCTAGTCTTTTTGGCTCTTTCAGAGTCGCAGAGTCACGGAAGACTACACTCTAGGAAGCTTGTTAAGGGTTTCTAGTACCCAGACGACAAGGAAAACGACCAAGACGAAGAAGATGACGACGACGACGACAACGACGACGACGACAACGAAGACACACCACTATCGTACACTTCTCTTTTACTATCTCGACAACCACTCGTTTTTTCCTACTACACTCTCCTCTTCTTTCTAACTATATCTATAGGGTTGGGGTATATAATATACCTTCTTTATAGTATACACCCCTTTAAACTAACCCCCTCTCTCTCTCTCTCTCTCTTTTCTTGTCTCCTTTTTTTTTCTTTGGGGGTTTTTTTTTTTTACTTTAAGCTCAGAAACACGCACATCGTATCTCTATGACAATGATGATGACAACAACAACAGCTATAAAGTATCAGGAAGAGAAATATTTTTGTTCTTCTTAAAATTAGTATTTTTTTTTTTTTTTTTTTACTTTCCTTCTTCTTCTTCTACTTCTTCTTCTTCTTCTTCTACTTTCATTGCGACCCCTTTTTGTCGACACATTATTTGAAATCGGGAAAAAATTCTTTTATCGTTAAGTGTATACAACTTTTTTTTTAGTTATTTATCACCTTTGTCTTTTTTTTTTTCGATGGTTAAAATTCCTCGTTTGTAATAGAAATAATTCAATTTTAAATTTACGAAAAAAAAAATTTCGATTAAATTAAATATAATTAAATGATTGTTTTTATTCAGTGACAACAATTTTCTTTTTGTTTTTATCACGATCATTAGTTAGGTAATAGTCATTATGTA